TGGTAAGTCAAGAAAACAGAAAAAAGTGCTTCGGGGATAGATTGGTTTTAGTGGGATTTTTTAAATGACTGAAGTCACACAATTAGTTTAAGATGCAGAGCAGCGAATCAGAACAAATAGCTGCTTACAGGGACAAATCAGTGGAATGTGAAAATGCATCACCGTAACCTACATTTTTTTCTACCAAGAGATTTGCAGCTAACTATCCGGTGACTCATTCCTATGCTGGGGGTGGTGAGGTAATGCTCTTGTGAGAGGTGATGTCATCTCTCCACCTGAACTGAATGCATATACTGCTTCTTGTGGCTCTCAAGGAAAAGCACCATCTGCTTTCCCATATGCAGCCTGAAAGATTTTACAAAGATTGGTGCAGAGGTTAACAGCCATGTGTATGACTCATAAGCAACCAATTAGTGAAGAGCAGCTATTTAAGAGTGAACTTATAAAATCATAATCCAGAAATATGACAGTATGATTCAGTATTGAATCATAATGCTTATCTGTTGTTGATTTTCTACTTTTCTCATTAATGCTGGTGAAGATTTAACTTTTAAATTAAAATAAGACAGTTTTTCACAATAAAGTCAATCATATCAAAACATCTGTGTTTCTTAAACCGTATTTTTAATTGCAGATAAGTTTGTTTTCTTTTACATTTGGAGGAGTATAGATCATTCTTAAAGCAAAGATGAATTTTAGTCCATATTGTTAGTTTGATAGTTTTAGGGGTGTTTTTGCATTTAGGAGCCATTGTGTTCCCTAAGCACCTGCTACTGCTTTAGGGGAAAAGAGGAAATAAATCCAAGTAAATGTTATCTTTTTCCTACAGTCCCATTAACTCCTCTTGGTCTTCCTTTTATTGATGCACACCTACTTTCCCTGCTGTACTTAACTGGTACTACTGTTGACATGACTGGACAACTGAAATACCTCTTTTTTTAACTTTTATCAAAATTTGAATTTATTGTTCTGATAAATAGAATATAGAATACCTAACATAATATGGAAGGTAGAGAATAATAAATACTTGATTTTCTAACATACCTAACTCAAAATGGGAGGTCATATTGACTCTGTACTATGTATTGTTATCATAAGGTATGTGTACTGACCCGTCTTTGTTCTTAGTGGCAACTTCAAGTTGGACATTCTACAAAAGGTAAAAGTTTAAATTTTTTGAAAATCCAATCTGTTATCTATTATCAAGAAATATAAGAAAGCAAAGAATAAAATAGTAATGCTGAAACTCTAAGGTAATCTGAGGTGGGATACATACTGATGTCATTTGAAAGTTTATTAAAAATCAAACTTTTTTTAAATAAAGAGTAACAATTGGAGATTTTTAGATACCCAGCATTATGATGAACCTTCGATTTTATGGTATAGTCATCTGGCTTTAATGACAGAGCTCCTGTAAGGCTCTTGTTTATCTTTCTTCTTTTTTCTTTTTAACCTTTTATTTGAAGATAATTTCAAACTACAAAATATACACAAATAAAAGTGGTACCAACACCCCCACTACCACCCTTACATGCCAGATTTACCTGCCTAAACCTTTTTTGCTTTATCATTTGAGTGCCTCTCTACCAGCCCCTCCCTCTTCATGTTGCCCATGCTGCTGGCTTGTGTGGTCACTCGTGCTCTCTTCCCCACTCCCTCAATGCACATTATTTCTTGTAACATTTGAAAATAAATTTAATATCTATCATGGCCCTTTACTCCTAAATACTTCAGCATGTATTTTCTAATACAGATATTCTCTTACATAATCACAGTACAGTTATCAGCTTCATAAATTTATATCGACTCTTTAACCTACTGTTCATATTCTGATTTTATCAGTTGACCTAATAATGTCTTTTATAGCATCCTCTATCCCAGTACAGCATCTACTCTAGGGTCAAGTAGTACATTTTTTTTTGTCACGTTAGCCTCTTTTAATCTGAATTTATCCACACTTTGTCTTTTACAACAGTGACATTTTTGAAGAATATAGTCTACCTGCTGTTTTATTTAAGAATTGAAAGTTCCTCATTTTGTGCTTGTCTGGTTTCCTCGTGATTAGATTCAAGTCGCATATTCTTGGCGGGAACACTGCATAGGTGATGTTGTATCCTCTCTTAGGGTATCACCCTGTCATTCATCGATGTTAGTTTTGGTCATCCAGTTAAGGTATTGCCTGAATTCTTCCCTGTATAATTACTGTTTTTTAAAAACTTTTTGTAACTAATAAGCAGTCTCAGGCAAAATACTTTAAGACATGCAACTATTCTGCTCCTCGTTAAAGTTTCCACCTAGATTTAACAGCATTACTGACTTTTTCCTGATAGCAGTCTTTACTATGATGGTTGCAACATGCTACTTATTCCAACTATAGCCCTCCCTTCATATTTACCAGCAGACACATGGCATTTTACTGCTGTAAGAGCCCTCGCTTCTCCCCCATATGTAATTTTATTTATTATCAGTATGAACTAACTCATGAATTTTTTTTTTGTTTGTTTCTTAATGCTTTATAATTCAGTACTTAATTGTTTTGGTGCTTAAATCTTCCAGATTTGGTCAGTGGCATGCTCCCATCTTTTTCTTTTCTTTTTTTTAAATTACATCCTCACTTTCTAGAATAATAAGATATTCAACACTCATTTTGTTGCCTACTCTACAGTCCTGGGATCAGCCATTTCTCTGAGAAGCATTTAGTGGGGAATTCAACTAGATAACAAAATCTGGGTGCTAGATTTGAATGCATTACTTTTATAGCCATTGTATAAACATTAATGTAAAATCATTAACATACCTGGTAAATATTTCTTAGAGGTACAACAAACAATTTTTGAGAATGTAATGGTATCTCAGTTTATAGTTACAGCAAAAAGTAAAGTGCATGGAGATTTTTTGTCAGCAAATTTGCACTTCCAAAATTTTCTTGGATTTCAAAGCAAAAACATAGTGATGCTAGCTTAAAGGTCAAATAGGATTTCAGTGGGCAGTGCTGGTACAGAAGGGTTTTCCTGGGAGAAGAAATGATATTGAGAGTGACTGTTCAGTACTGTTACTAAACAATAAAAGTAACATTAAATATCATGCTTCAGTAATGCTGCCTGATTTCTGCCCAAGTGAGAAAGAGTGAAGGACAAGGAGGGAAAGGTTGTTTGAGGTCATGTTTAGAGGACTTTTGAACATCAGACTTAGGATTTGGGGTCTTTAATAAGATAATAGACAGCTTTGAAGATTTTGGGGTAGTGTCATAACAAGCTTAACTCTGACTCCAGAGATTAATCTATAAGATAAGGAGGGGTTAGATTGAGGAAATTTCCAGTTAAGAGTGTAAAGAGGCTATTATAATAGTTCAAGCAGGAGAGAGAAAGATTTGAAGTAGAAAATGAAAGAATTGAATTAGAATAGTGGTTTTCAGCTGTCCTTCAGAACCCCAGGAACAAAGCTGGGGGAAAGGAAGGATATGTGAGCTGGGCACCAATTTAAAACTCTTATTACACAGTGCAATACATATATGCCTTACTGCTAAATTGTACACCTGAAACTTACTGGATTTTGCTAACCGATGGTGAACCAATTTATTTATTATGGTGATAATAAATAAATTTTAAAAAATAAAACTCATTGACAATGTGGGAGTTTTCAAGTAAGTATCTCTTTAAAGAAAGGATTCTGCTGTTTAAGGAACAAAGTACATAGTGAAATTTTGTTTTTAAAAAAGTTAAGACCAACATTCGTTTGGAGTTTCATATTTTCTTTTTTAAACTCATACTTCTTTCATATTCCCATTTTCCAAAGTTCTGAGCCTGGATGTTCAGGAAAATAGTCTTGTCGTTAGCTGAAGTAAATCAAGTATATATTTTTAAGTGCCAAAGAGTCAGTGCCACCAAGCCATGCACTAATACTCTTTCTCAAGAAATAAGATATTATTGGCCAAAACCTTTAAAGTCATGCTGAACTCTTCTTTTGCTCATTCCATATAGGGAATCCACCATGAAATCCCTTTAGCCCTACATTCCAACTATATCCCAAATCTGACCACGTTCAGCACCTCCACCGCTATCAGCTATCATCATCTTGTGCCTTCTGCTTTTCTCTCCCTGCCTCTGCCCTTGCCTCTCTAGCCTGTTGGCTTTCCTTGTGATGGGCACACTTCCACCTTTAGGCCTTGGTAAAGGACGTTCTCCAGAAATAAACATGGTTAACTCTCATTCTTAGGTTTTGCTCAAATATTGCATTCTCAAAGATCAGTACCCTGAACTTACTGACGGTCTCCTCCGTTCCGATATGTACATTTTCCAGGCCCCCTTTATTTTGTCTATTTTTTTCCCTCTGGCATTTATCACCTAACATACCTTATAATTATTATGTTGTCTCCTGACACCAGAGTTTGAACTCCACAGTGGCAGCTCATTGGTCTATCCTAAGCAACAGAATAGTACCTGGTATGTAGTAGGCCCTCAGTAAACATTGTTAAAAAGGATGGACAACAGAGTCATAAAATCAGTGAGCTTGGTTACCAGGCTTCTGGCACATAGCAGATTTGAGAAAGTAAATACAAGAAAGCATGGGATATTGCTTGAATCAACCTGTGTCCCTTGGATCTGAGCCTAGGACAGTAATCGGCCTAGATAAAATGGGCCTGGAAAGTACTGTACATACCGTCTGTTTACTAGAAAATCATATTGTACATTAACATAGTAATCACAGTATGACCTCCTATAAACCTCTTCTTGAACTCACCTGATCACAGAACTCTCTTTTGGTGACTTATGTGCATTATGGGACACTCTTGGCAAACAGAGTTTGAGAAAATCCATACTGGGGTACTACTTGTAAGCCCCTGGGGAGACTGGCGGTTCTTTTAAATTGCTTTTGGTTGACAAACTGTGCTGCTTTGAATGCTGGCTACTGAGAAGAGGCTGGAGTGCATCAGGCTCAAGTCTCCAGCTCTTAGTTACTATTATGGTTAAGATCCTCTTAAAAGTTAGCTTTTATTTTAGGTATTTGGGAATAAGATGATAATTCCGTCCCTGGATGGAGACCTCTTCCAGTGGGACCGAGACCGTGAGAGCATGGAAACAGTTCCGTTTACAGTTGAATCACTTCTTGAATCTTCTTATAAATTTGGAGATGATGTTGTTTTGGTTGGAGGAAAGTCTCTCACTACATATGGACTCAGTGTATATAGTGGAAAGGTAAGTGAAAATGTTGAATTTATTTGAGGAGAAATAAATTCACAATTAAGGATAAAAGAAGTAATTTCTTAAACTATACTATTACTGGTTGAGGTTTATTAAAAATTTCCCCCAGGGATGTTATTTGTTTCAATTAAAGAACTATAAAGTAGAAAGGGGAAAATATTATTGAGAAACTAAATTTATCCAAGATAACAGAATAAACAGCAGAGCCAGTGTAGTAGGAGGAAGATAATAAATATGTTCTACTGTGTGTCAGGTACATTTTTCATACATTATTTTGAAATCCTCACAATATTTCTAAGGGTTATATATTTTTGTTTCCTTTTGGAC